CGAAATCAACTTGTGAAGCGCTCGGGCGGTTTCGCGTCGCGTCGCGTGTAGACGCGTCACATACACTTGGACTTGGACTACTATCATCCTTGCGCCCATGCTAGTACTATTGTATCTCTGAGGTCTGAGCTATGGGTCCTCACGCGTCAGGCCAATCCAGGAGCTGCTCGATGAATGCCGTCGTGTCTGTCGCGCGCACCAACCCGAAGCTCGCCCCAACCGAAGCCCTGCTCTGAGTCTTTGTACGTTGTTCTTTCATTCCTCCCAACCCTGCATCGCGCTCAACACACACAGGTAGATTTCCTTCTCGCGCATCATGTCTACTAGGTCGGCTGTGCTGCTCAAATCGACGCCGCAGTCATGCAGCTTGCGGTTTTTCACCCCACGACCTCCGCGCTGATCCTCGGGCGCACGCGCCGTCTCTTCGCGTTGTTCACCTGGAACATGCTCCATCCCAAGGTCGAGTACGCGTAGAGCCGCTTTCGCAGCTCTTACTTGAGCATGGCCACTATGTCCTCAGGAGGACGCGCCTCACAGCTGCGCCTCCGCGACCTGGGTACTCGGAGAAGATGAACTCCTTCCGGAGGATGGCGGAGCCGTTCGGAAGCGCGTCTGAATAGCATCCGCTTTGACGGCCGTTCAGCTAAGCAAGAGGTTCGCGGTTGAACTCGAGGGGTTTTTTTCAGGCGCGGCATGGGCGGGTGGTTTTGCTGCTCTTGCTTGGCTGTGCGAGGGCCGAGAGGTCGGCAGGTTCGCTGAGGTGCGCATTTCCTCCAATCAGGCTCATATATCCTGAGCCGTCTGATATCTGACGTTCTCGATAGAACAGCGGTGTGTATCACAGATGGATGCCGCCCACGGTCATACTCATAGTCCAATCGAAGCACGACCCTCCGAGGAACAAAAAACCGCGAGCACTGCGGCGCAGCTCAGATTTTTGCGGCAAGCCGTCTCATAGCTTCTTCTCATCCGTTGCATGAGCTGTACAAGTTTCATGTGAGTGCAAGTCTGTTCGACCCTGCTATGTGTATCCGTGACTTACCGCGAGACTCTCTAGCAGTGGCTCCCGGTGCGACGCCTTCGGAAATACAGCCTTGTCGTTCCTCTTTGAACACACCGGCTCAGCAACGACTGCTCATTGAAGTGCGCAGACCATCTGCATCCATGGCGCTCGTGATCGCATGGTCGTCAGCGACCTTCGACTGCCCAACAGGCAACTGTATGGAGAGCAAGCTGCTGCGAGCCGAGCAGTACTGGGGTAGCCTACGCTGCGGGAGACGTGGTTGCAGTTCTGTCTGGTTCACAATGCTGGCGTGGGCCAGAAGCTCGTGTAGCGTCCTGGTGCTCAAATTGCACACCCAAACGGCCTCCGTTTTGCCTGAATCGTAAAGGTCAGGTATGATGGAAGGTATGTCATTGCAAATGAACGTTGGCGGCAGCTCACCCTCGTCAAGCAGCTTCTCCGTCTCCTTCCACGTTTCCACGTATAGGGCCCTCGTGCGGCTGCAAGGTCCTTCCTGGCAACACATCATGCTCTGACACGCTCGCCGGCCGTGTAGCGCCCTTGAAGGCTTAGGATGTCTCGTCGTCAATGGACGCGTGCAACGAGAACAGGGCATCATGACATGAGCGAATTTCGAAAGGGACCATTTGGGGATACGGGACACCTTGAGACAGAACCGAAGGTCTTTTGCATCTCGTGCGACCCTCGGTCTTCTCCCTGTGCAGTCCGTGCTTGTAACATCAACAGGTACGTTCCTCTCGCCAAATGGAACCGCGTCGGATTAGTGACCTTGACCGCCAAGGTGTGGTCATATTGGGGGCCTAGGCACTGCTTTCTGAGTGGGGACAAGTGCGAGTGTGTTCAGAACATGGGATCTGAAGATCTGAAGGCTGAACATCGTTCACATATGCGGTATGCGTGTCTTTGCGTCCCTCCTCTTCTACTACATTTGTCTGAAAGAGCCCTCTATACAGTTCAATCATGGCGTGCACGATTCCTCGGAACTTGAGCAGGTCTCGGGCTTGTGTGCAGCTTCAACACATCCCTACTTGGTGTAGTCACGTCCGCAGCAGGTCCAGTAAAAGCACTCGGGGAATTGCATGATGTCCTGCCAATCGACCTCTTCGCCAGCTTCCTACTACATGGCACGATCAACTTCGAGGAAGCCTGTCCAAGTCAACGTGTCAGGTGGCAGCGACATGTGAGCCTATAATAAACCAGCTACCTTGATGAGTCCTGCATTCGCCGTGCACTCGACGCGATCTTGCGTCATAATCCCCCTCGCAGAAGGCGCATATAGTCCACTGCGGTGCCTTCAATCCACTCTTCTCAGAGGTGTCGCCGTCCTCTTCAACTTCGCTCTCGTCTTCCTCGTAATTGTCTCCGTCAGTATCTATTCTCCATTTGTCGTCTTCGCCATCACTCACATCTTCATCGCTGCCATCCGCGTCCTCCGCGTCCTCCTCTTCTTTCGCCACCTCCCCACCCCATTTCGTACCGTCGTCCTCGTGCATGCCCAGCAATGCCTGCCAGACGTGCTCGGGTACAGCTGGAATATCGTCTACGAGAGCTGTCAGGGCATCTCGAATGCGTGTCGTGGGCGCTGTTGCGATTGCCCGGCGAAGCTGGGTCCGAGCAGCGTTGTCCAGCATGCGAGGAGGCTCGAGCGTCGAGGGGGGCACTTGTGAGATCGCCTGGCTTTCGCGACACGTATCGCTCCCTTGAATGGGTGCTGACATGGTTGGGTTGGAGGAGTGCTGACTTGCAGGCGAGAGCTCGACGCGTCACCAGCACTCAGGCTTTGCTCAGGCTGGTGAAAGCGGGCGGCACGTGATCGTGTTCCCAAACGCGTCGAGACGAGCGCGCGTCGACGCACTGGCAGGCGAGCGACGAGCTGCTTGAACAGCTCCCACCATCACTGATCATCTCTCCTGTACGCCCAGCCCAAAACAAGATGCCATTATTCTCGAGGCTTCTCCCATCTATCGTCTCGGCCTTTGGACTGCAGTCAGGTAAGATCACGTTGCAGTGTCACCGGACGGTACTGACTGGCTATATGCGCTCCCAGTCCTCGCCCTGATATTCGTCCCGCAAGCAAACGAGATGTACTACGACCTGGGAGGATCAGCGGGCTTTGTCTCCACGACTCTCGTCTCACTCTACTACCCCCACCTCAAGGCGAAGTTTTGGGACCGCATTCCGACTGCGACCGTTCCGTCGCCATTCCACCTGGCGCCGAGACAAATCTTGCTGAATGCTGCCATTCTGGCGTGGTCAACTAGGCTCGGGACGTTTCTCTACTCCGTAAGCACATCAACAAACCTGGACGTATTCTGTCCCGTACCTGACGTTCTCGTCTCCAGAGAGCCATGAGAGCAGGCGGTGATTCGCGCTTCGATGAGGTCAAGCATCAATCCGCCAAATTCACAGCTTTCTGGATGGCACAAGGTAAGCATGTGCATCTGTCACCCCATGTATGCACCTCACCGGTAGTCCAGCAACCTGGGTCTTTGTGGTTGGCTTACCCATTTACATGGTACGTAACCTTACGCTGTGATGCCGCAAAACAAAACACGCCTTCGTTGCAGGTGAACACGCTAGCTCCGGCTAAGCATCCAAGATTGGGCCCGTTGGACTATTTCGCCGTAGCTCTATTGGCCAGTTCGTGGGCTTTTGAGCTTGGTACGTGAGCGAACAAGAGAAACACAGTCAGTAGGGGGGATTGACCAGCCCGACACGCCTCACAGTCGCCGACCACCAGAAGACTACTTGGCGGCACGCAAAGAACAACAAGCTGCATGACGAAAAGTTCATCACGAAGGGTCTGTGGGGAATCAGTCGTCACCCGAAGTGCGTACATGTCGTGTTTCCTCCATGCCAAGGTGGCTCACGTCCATCGATATCCCACAGCTACGTCGGCGAAGTGGGAGTATGGACGGGAATATGGCTGCTATCATGCCGATCTCTACAGTCGCCCTTCTTCCCGAGGGGCGCGTGGTTGATGGCGGGAGCGAGTCCGCTCCTGACTTGGTTCCTGTTGACGCGTGTGTCTGGTGTTCCGCCTCTCGAGGTACGCGACGTTTGTTTTCTGGCTCTGTCGAGGTCGTATCGCCGGCTCAGGATTGGGTGCTGATTAAGTTTCTGATCAGGCCGCGGGGGACAAGAAGTACGGGGACGACCCGAAGTGGCAAGAGTACAAGCGGTGAGTCCCTTCGAGTTACATGTTGCCGATAATCTTGTGCTGCAGTTGCTCGTCAAGCTACTTGGTACTACCGGTGTCGTCCGTCCACTGGCGTGACTACTCACGCAATTTGCGTCGCATTGATGCAGTTGCGGGGCATGTCGATCACACGAAATCTTCTCCCGTCTGTTCCCTAAGATGCAGTTCCCATGCGGGTTCTATACAGGGAGCGGTGATGCAGCCATAAGTCACGCATGGGGGCTGCAGCCGATGTCAGCGAGCATCAGCAGCGATGGGTAAGGGCTGCGTTGAGCAATCTTACCCATCACTGCCGCCGACGAGTCGTGAAGCTTGATAGATCAAATTGGGCCGAGCGGAAGGTTTCAAACACCTACCTTGAGCTGCAACTGATATCCTACCTCCAGAAATGTGCCTATCTTCTGGCCATGGATCGGCGCACAAAGCGACGGAGCACGGGGAGTACAGTGATGCTGTTGAAGGCCGGAAACGCATGTAAGAAGCATACGCGTATTCGCGATGTTGGAACTGTTCAGTCGGGTCGCCGTGGCGTATCTCAGCCATGTTCTCGGATCTTGCGAGGCTTGTCGGAACATGGGAGAGAATGTCATGCTGTGACATCGTGCATATGGACTACTGGGGAATGGGACATGTTGTGCCCCTGTAACGATTTGTGGTGTCAGATTGTGGGATGTCGTAAGTATGTAGAACTTGAATGTCGAAGGTCTTCTGGAACTTAGGGAATGCAAGTTGGAGGTTACCAGCGTCCCCATCATGCAAAGTCGGGTCAAGCTTCTGGGGCGTTTGGCACAGTGGTAGCGCGCCTGCTTTGCATGACGTAATGCAATTACGTAAGCTTGCATGAGGCCGAGGGTTCAAACCCCTCAACGTCCATTTTAGCGAAGTTGCCGCATGGGTGTTCCCGCAGACGCGATAACACGGGGCAAGGGAGGCGCCGGGGAGAAGCAGCGGGAGTGATTGATTAACGGCCTGGACAGAGTTGTGCGTCTGCAGATCGAGCAAACAGAATTCCAACGTTCTCGGTACGGCATCAATGAAACTTTCCTTCTCTCATCCCTGGCCATGCTCGCTATACATACTTGGTCCTCCGCGACTTCCTCCGCTGCTCGCGCTCCGACCCGCAGCCTCCATGAACCCCGCCTCCCCCTCACAACCTCCCAGTCCCTCCTGATAGCTTCTCGCTGCTGACAGCCTGAGCGTTACAGCACCCGGTGAGTACCCACCATACTTATATCAGGCTCGTTCCCTCTTGCTGACTGCGTACTTTCCAGGCCATCTCGTCCTCGGTACATCCCACCCGTGTGTGTCGCTACCAACTCCTTGAGCCCCGTATCATCTCGCGATAAGCTGCTATGATGGCTGCTCCCGCTCCCGAGACTCCCGAAGAGATTGCGGTCAAGACTGACTTCCGGGCGAACATCTGGTCTGTCTTCCAGGAGCTCTATGAAGACAAGTGGGATCCAGGTATGTCTCCCGTCCTCCGCATTGGGGTCTACTAACTCAGAGGCGACAGAGCGCTGGCGCATAGCCATTGGTAGGTCTTGTTGTTTGGCCCATGCTCCCCGCACTAGGAGCTCTCGCGAGTCCACGTGCCATTCGCTGACCACCTCCCAGCTAGATTCGAAGCCGCGCACGACCCCGCTGTTGTGCAGCGTTTCTGGGTGAGGGCGAAGCTCCCCGCGTGGAACGCTCTCGAGGCGCAGTTCAGAAAGGGTCCGCCTCCGTTTCTGCGCCCTGGATGGAAGAGCCCGTTGCTCGGGAAGAAGGTCGACCTCCGCTGGCTCGACTCGGGCAAATTCGAGCACGTAAAGGGCAACATGGACGGATGGAAGACCGCCAAGCTGCTCGTCATTGAACTGTGGGCCTCGTACGTACTCGGCTTGACTCTCTCGTTGTTGCGAATGGGGCATCATTGCACTCGCGGTGCAGTGGGGGCCCCGGGGAGCACCAGCGACTCGGTAGCGCGTTGCCACAACTGCTACGATGTGCCTCGTGGATGTGCCTCTTTCCCGGGCTTCCGAGGTGGCGTACGCCGTTTGAGGCTTCGCCCACCTTCCAGCTCGCGCCTTTGGCTTCGCGCTCCCGCGTCATGCCGTGTGTGCGCTCTTCTGCGCATCTCCATGCTGTGTATCAGGACGATTACTGACTCCGAGATCTTCTTTTGCTTCGTGGTGCGCAGCTGGTGTAGGGTACGTGCGATATGGGACATACACGGCTTAATTGCATTCGACTGACCCACGCGCTTTCCCAGCCATGCCTCGCGGTATTCCGGGACCTCTCCACGCTTGCCCAGACGCGGCCGGACATCAAAGTGATCACGTTCAACTCCGAGGGCATATTCACGAATGCACCCATCGATGTTACCGCGGTCAAGGCCTTCATTGCAGCGCGGGACGACATGAACTACCCCATCTACATCGATACGCATCGAGTTGCAGTGACCTGTAGGTGTTCCTGTTCCTGGCGCACGACTCTGGCGGTGTGTAATCCTGACCAGCCGGGGACGCGCCGCGCCGTCAAGAAGCACGCTGACTAAGCCTTCTCTATCGCAGCGATCTTCCAGCCTGGCCAAAATCTGTCCATACCTTTGGGTACGTGCCCCGTTCCCAAGCTAAATGAAACTCTGTTCGGTCGCACTGATACCAGGCTTCAGTGTTCATCATCTCACCAAAAGACGGGATTGTCCGTTGGATCGGGAACCCCGAAGAAATGGCCATCCCCCTCGAGGAGGCGCTTCGCGCCGTCTAGTGTCCACGTATTGCGAAGAAGAGGAACACGGTTGGAAAGGGTTTTATTGCCTCCGCTTGGCATCTTGTATAGAAAGTTTCATCCCGCTTGCGTTGTCTCACTACTGAATCCGGGCCAGGTCGTCCACTGTATACCAAGGCACTGCGTCATTCCTGTATATTAGCTCAACGCGGCCTCTGTACCATAAGAACGCGAGAACATGACTCTCCCTCTGTGCCTATCACGGGGTCGCATACGTCGCTATGAAGGTGCGCCCCGTCCGTTCTACTCCGCGGCTGCCTTGCGACGATTGTTTCTGCTTCGCATGTCATACACGTATAACTTGACGGGCGAAGCAATCGAGCACGCCTCCCAGACGACACCCGTACCCGTATTGCGGTAATTCAGGGGGGATATGTATCCTCCGCCGCTGAATCGACGTCCGATGAACTCACTGCGACATTGCAGCGCGGCATTGTGGATCCCGGCCCTTGCGCGGCGTATTGACGTCGTACAAGTCCCTCGCACTATGTGCTCGGTCGCTTGTAAGTCGGTGTCCGTGCATCGGGAACCTTGTCGTCCGTTGATCGATGAAGACCTTTGTGTCCGTTCCCTTTGTTCGCCTGCTACGTCAGTCCGAAGCCATCGAGGCTCATTTCCGGCGAGAGGAGACAGGCGGAATTACAGAGGTGTCGGAGATGGGGCCGGATCTGTCGCTTCTCAGGTCCCTTCAACGTACCCGCAAGCGCCAACAGGTCGGCGCAACTAGCTGCCTCAGGCTTGCTATGGAGCGCAGGCATGCGGATGGACAGGGAAGATCCATTCATCGCAGTCAGCGAGCTCTTGGAGTCTGGATGCACGGGCTGCATATCGACGGCGCCTCCTCAGCGGCTTGGCTGGCCGCTAACGCTGGCGTGCACGAAGTCCGCGACGTCTTGGATGAATTTGGTGCGGTGATTATGCCGGCAACACGATGTCCTATCCGCGTCCGTCCGCTGATGCTCTATCACGCCGTCTAGCCACCCACCGGCGACAGTAGCCGGTCCGGTAATATCCCTGCGAGGGCTAGGGTTACTGCTGAGGCCGGCTGGGTTAGCGCACCAGGAAGTGGTGGCAACTGGCAACCTGCAGAATGTGAGTTTCGCCGATCAGACACTTCAATGAGACTGTACGGCAGGCACTCGATTGGGCGGACGATGTACCAAAGGAGCCAGATTGTCAGAACCTCGCATGGTCACAGGTCCTCTGGGTTACCGCGAGGCCGCTTAGACAATCTTGAACTATCTGTAGACGCATGGGAGGCGAGAAGAACGTCGGAGTCAAGAGCAAGCGGGGTTGGCGCTGGGGCCTCCAACAAGGCGAGTGAGAGACAGCCGGCGGCTCCTACGTTTGGTCGGTCTCATGAATTGTGCCCGGGGATGGCATGTTGTTGATCTGTTCGAGGTAGCGACCACATCCTGGGGCAGACGGGCAGACGTGTGCACCGAAGGATGTCGTAGCTGTCGTACCAATGAGGCTGGCCATAGCGCTCCTCTCACAGCTGCGCAAAAATAGCATCCTGTCATCCCTTGCTCTGTCGGCTCCAGAGTGTGCAGTACTCGTGACGAGCATGCCTTGCTGGGGAGCGGACCGTTCGTGCAGAAACGAGCTGGCTGACTTCCCCCTACGACAAGGACTACAGCGGCCCGTGCCTGGCGCTATTTAGTCCCTACTGCGCGTCGAACAGTGACAGTGATCGAGGGGATGACTGCAATTAGTACGGCGTATAGATGGTAGATACGCTGGGCCATCCCCAGCAACGCAGTGGTTCATCGCTCGCGGGAAGGATAGCTTCATTCACCAGCGTAACCGTGACATGATGCACCCTGATATCGGGAGGTTAAGCGAGGCGGAAGCACAGGACAGCATGCGGCAACTTAACGTCATTACTTCAAAGTCTAAAGGCGCCAGTGGCGAACTTGACGCTATCGGACCTGCTAGCGTCCTAGATAAGCATACAGTACGGGACAGGAGCGCGGGGACCACACCCAATAACATGAAGGCCTTATGAGCGGTGGACATACCTCTGATGTTCTCACAGTGACTACCTCCGGCGAGGGCCTGTGAGTGCTCATTGGTCCTTTGGGGAGGCGAGGATGGGGCGTTTTTCTTTCGGGACAACAGGCCAACCGGGGCTTGACTATACACGGGGTCACTGGCAGGCGGACGCTGGGAGATGTGGGAGTCGCATTGGTAAACCGCAGGGTCGGCACCAGCTGGTTCAACGAGAGCATAGGCAGAAAATGAACACTCTAAGCGGACAAGACTAAGGCGACAGAGCATGGAAGGAGAGGCCCTGAGGCCACGGAGGGGACGATTACATGCAGGGTTGCGCTGGTGTGAGTCGGATGGGCCCGATATATCGAAGACATTGTTGCGGTCGTGAAGTTTTGGCGGACGCTCATCTACAAGTAGGCTTATCCGAGAGGTAAGCATGTCGCACTTGTAGCGTGAGCTAGCGGCGCTCCCGACATACTGGTGCTAGGTCCAGATGTCTAACGAGTTCGGCGAAGAAGACAAGTCTGAAGAGCCACGCATGAGAAAACCTCAACAAAAGTCGAGAGAGGGCCACAAAAAATCATACCTTCCATGCAACACAGCTCAGCCTCCGAGACGTCGACGTGACAGCATCTTCAACTGGAGCGCCGGCCTGAGTGGAAAAAACATCCAAGAGTCCGATTACTGCATCTCTCTGGCGACTATGAAGCAGCATGTCCCTCAGATTCAACCGATATGCCGATAAATAGATGACCGCCCGGACTGGACTGCCACAAGCATTTGCTCAGGATATCGAGCATGCCAGCCTGTGCTAGAGCGGCCACATCCAGTTGGAAGAGGAAGTTAGCCATAACGAGCACATGGTGGTTCAGACCGAACCTGCAAGACGCCGACCATCAATGTGTCTCCACACACGTGTCACATTGCAGGCGAGCCGCCACTGCCGCCATATATTCGCTACCCATATTAATCGCGTATACACATGCACATTTCCAGGGTATCCTAACTGAGGAACAAAGTTACCGCGTGATGTTTCCTACTAGCTTCCGTGACCAAAGGATCTTCAGGGGCAGAAGGTGATGGTGTAGTCAGCCTCAAGGCTAGCGTCG